GAAAATATCGGCATATCGAATATCGGCCAAAATCCTATCGTGCATCCCTAGTGATAATATCTGTACGTCATTTAACCATGCAATGCCACATGTACTATTCATCATGTTCATGTTTTGTCTGCTTGACAGGACCATACAAATTGTTGTATCTTGTATTAGAGCAGTTAAAATGTGTGCTTAGAGTACAATTCTCTCATACTGACCACTGGATGTTCAACATTTATTTGAGAACAATTACTCAGAGTCGCCCCGTCGTTTAAAGAATAGTACAACAGCGAGTGTGTAAAGTATAAATATATCGTCCGCTTAAGGTGGAGCGCGAGCAGACAGCGGAGGCTCACTGTGCGGAGCCAGGCGGAAGTATAAACAAGGCTTTTACATTAATGTTAAATGTTTTCACACAAGTGTCTGTATTTTGCTCATGTCTCATTGCAGCCTATAGGTGGTGCCAGAAAGTGGAAAACAGGTCAAAGAAATCTATCTGTTTTAAACTTTGTATAAATGGAGAGTTTCTCCAAAGTATTTAATGAGTTTTACCTCGAGACTGACGCTTCTTACAGAAAAACCATAATAAGAGTCCAGCGATGATCAGAGCCAGAAGAACCAGAGGGATGATCAGAGAAGACCCTGAAAACACAGGAGAAATAATCAGAGAATGTGATCACTTGGAGAAAGTATTGGTTTGAGTCTGTAACCAACAAAGGGATATAACTCTAATATAATTATCTCAATCTATTTGTCCTCGATTCCAACCCGTTTTCTCTTTCGTGAAATGATGCATGTATGAGACTAGTTTTTTTTTTTTTTTTTATAAACGTTTTGTTAAACCTTTCAAGGTCATATAATGCACATTAATTATATGTCATGTAATGTACATTCTTTCTGCTTGGCTTTGGGGCCCTAATAATTCATGGGTTATTTATGAAAACACTGGCTGAATGGACATTAATGCACTTATTACATGGCTACTTAATAGTCCAACTGACCGATAACAATGGAGTATTCCAGCAAGCCGTGTTTTATTGTGGTGTGTATTCTTCTCATTCCTGAATCCATTTGGGCTGAAGGTCAAGAGAGAACCAAACCAAAGCTGGACTGTAACCTACTGGCCTACATGACAGACTTACAACTGGCATGGATGCTGCATCACGTGTTTTTGAACAAAAACTTTTTCACCTAGAATTTAAAGTGTGGTGGAGTGATCATTTGGCCTCCATCGGCCTCCATGAGGAGACTCCGTGTCTTTATCTTATGTGAGTGGATATCATATTAAAAGTACTGCTTATTTCTTCTGAGTTAATTTTTTAGTATGTGTAAAAAAAATTCAATAAAAGAAAATAAACTTTTAGTAATGTATTGAAGTAATTAAGTCATTAATTATGTAATGTTGTAATCAAGAGTGTTAATGGGACCTGTTAATGTAGTATGTACAGTATAAATAGCAAACGTATATGCTTGTGTTGAGCACGTGTCTACAGGTTAGTGGTTACCCAAGACAATTTAGAGGATGTATATGGTGTATTAAGCCATGTTTATTTGTACAATATGTAATTTATGTATATATAATACATTTTTACTGTGGAACAAATTGCCATTTTTTATTTATTTGTAAATTAGCAATTTTATTTTTTCCATTTTATCACCAACACCATTTTATCACCAAATGTTTTTGTAGTTCATTGTTTTGATTATTCTGACTGTGAAATTGGACAACACTACATTAATACTTTGTAATATTTATGGTCATAATTCCAGTGCATCGAATAAGTCCTTAATTTGCAAAGATTTCTGATACTATTCAGTGTAAAGTTTGATACATTCCAAGCTTCATATTTTTACAGGCGATTTTAATGAATGCTTGGATAATTTGAATGCAAGATATCCTCCTCGATCTTCTCAGCGTGACACTCAATACAACCTAGCATATCAATGTGCCAATTTATCACTTATAGATAGTTGACGATTTTATAACCCCGGATTAGAATATACATGGTCTAACAAAAACAAATCTTTGCATTCTAGAATTGATTTGTTTCTAATTTCCACCTCTGATCATAAGCTTATTTCCTTAACGCTTACAGGCTCAAAAGGGAATTCTATTCTCAGAGGGTACTGGAAATTTAATAATAATCTTCTTAATGATGAGTGTCATTTTTATAACTGTATTATAAAAACTGCCAATGATATCTTGGGAGGTTCAAAGGAAGGATTTAAAAATAAATGGGAATTTTTCAAATATAACGTCAGAAAGATTGATGGTAAACGTAGTAAAGAGTTAAAAAAAATAGACAAAAAATATTAAAATTACTGGATAGATTAGGGATATTGGAACAGAAGCAAAATCTTACAGTGGAGGAATAAGCTGAATTAGTTCAAATCCAAACTCTTCTTGACCAAATGTATTTAGACTTAGCTAAAGGTGCTTTTATTTGTTCTAGAGCGAAATGGCTTGAAGAGGGTGAAAAACACAAGTTATTTCCTTGCTCTTGAGAAAATTAATTTTAAAAGAAACGCTTTAACTGCATTAAACATCGATGGGAGTCATTGTTTGGACCCAAAAAAATCTCTGACTTTTTTTTTTTTTTTCATTTTATAAAGAACTATATAATTCTAAATTGTAATCTATATAATTGTGAAGTGAGTTCATCAAAATATTCCTATTATTGGTAAAGAATTTCAAGTCTTTTGTGAATCCGATATAACAAGGTCTAAGATTAGGCTAAAGATGCCCTTTATGCAATGAAAAAAGGGAAAGCACGACGGCTTAACTGTAGAATTGTATTTAAAATTTTGGGAACAGATTGAAGTTCCTCTTTATATAGTATGTATAATGAATTTATTAGTAGTGGTGAAATGTCTACTTCTATTAAACAAAGTCTCATTTTGTTAATGACAGTTTGTTAGTCGGTTTATATAATTTAATATAGTTCATCTAATATAATATCACACAAAGAGTGCAGTTTTTCTCCAGATATTAGCATAACAAATGTGATTTTGATTTTATACAAGTTTAATAAACAAGAAGTTAATTTTAAGTGACTTACATGTTTCCTTACTGAATAAATCAGCTTTTTGAACAAATCAGTTGAATCTCAATGACTCACTCATTAACAGTGACTAGCTAGCAATCAATAGGAGCCTCCTAGTAATGAGCTGGTAGGAAAGATTAGGCTAGTAGCTGTGCTTCACATAAGGGTAGACCTAGCGTTTGCAGCTAAAACAAAAATATAAAAATATTAGCTCTGTTAACTCCCTTGTCCTGAAAAAAATCTCTACTATTCATGATCTAGAAAATATACAGCATATTATTTACAGTTTGAGTTTTGATAAATCATCTTCTTGCTGTAGCAGATGACTTAACTGTAAGCAATCTAAAATTGTTTTAGCCAAATAACAGGTCTAACAGGTCTAATTGTTTTAGCCAAATCTGTGACTGTGAGTCCATCTTTTCACCACAATACGACAACAAAAGCACACATCACACTATAGCAAGCCGTTTTAACTTTTATTCATTTTCAGGATATGAATTGTTGATATCAACAATTACATTTTTTATATCAACAATTTAATTGTTACTAGTGAAAATGTAATTCCTGATATCAAAAATTGCCATTTTTACTAGTAGAAATACTATTCCTGATATCAATAAGTAGCCTATCATTTTAACTAGTGAAAATTGAATTGTTGATATCAAGGATTCATATCCTGGAAATGAATAAAAGTTCAAACGGCTTGCCATAATACACTGGTAAATACCAGTTCACAAGTGGAAAATATAATCTTTTGCATAGCACGTGAACGTAGCAACAATCTGGCAAAAAGTGGTGGAGACACCCGCAAATTAACGTTAACGTGTGCCACAAGTCCTACCATTTATGTCGGATTGTGTGTCAGTTCTGATGTGTATTAACTCAGTAGTACCTGTTGTGTGGTCCTCCCAAGCCTCAGTTATGTTCTGCTCTCTCTCAGCAAACTCGGACAAGCTCTCCAGCAGGACGTTTATAGACAACATGATGTCTGCCTGTTGTTTTCAGCTGTAGACTGCGTTTGCACACTTCGTCCGCTAGTGACTCAACTGAACCGCCGTTGAACAACTCAGTCTGTGACGTCAAATGGAACTCGCGCTAGACACTATATGGGGAGGCTGCAGACCTGGAGGGATATACTGTGAAATAACATAATTAAATCGACGCTTACACATTAATAATCCGTCCATAGACTTGACAATTTTGTGTTTTTTGTTCATTTAAATATAAACGTTACAGTGTAGAACTGCACGGATTAAAATATCTGTAGATATTCAGTCGGGCTTCATGTCTTCACTCAGCCTACAGAAGACTATTTGTTTTTGTGAATTGAAAAATTAAAAATACACATAGTTGGATCAACTAGTAATGATATGACCTACTGCAGTTATAGGCCTATTCACTGTAGGTTTTTATAAGACTGATATGTTGTTGTAAATTTATATAAAGTTAGATATTAACCAAATTTAGCCCATTAGGTAGGCATACAGTGTAATCATATGGATCCTCGATGAAATATCTGCTGTACTATTCTATTGGTCATCATACAGCTACCAAACAGTGTCCTACACATTTTATGAAGACAAACACAATTTATCCCTTTTCTAAAATTCCAAGGGCCATTAAGAAGAAAGAGATAATATTGTTGTTCACAAAAAAATATTTATTAACACCATTTATGAATTATGATGACTCCCCTATGGTTTACCACTCTTTTTTAACTATTTTTCTACCCTCCTGTCAAAGGCTCACTGATAATAAAAAAAATGAACATTTAAAACAAATAAAAAGGACATCATGATTTGATCTTGTCACTGTGGGTGTGTGTGGGTGTGCAGCCCAGTATTTATGTCAGGTGAGTGTGGATTGCATCAATTTGCTCCTGATCTTCAAAGTACTTAACGGTCACAGGCACTTGTTAGTGGAACAATAGTGGAAAAAGTGTCAAGCCACTTTGATTTCTTTTGGCCAACGATGATGGACTGTGCAGAGAAAATTAAAAATGATATTAAAAACATGTCCATGTATGTCTCTGTAAGTCGTTTATTTTGTAAGTCGTAAAAAAAAAGAGATGGGTGTTTATAGGTTTAGAGAGAGAGAGATTTTTATTTCCTTTCATTTCAATTCATTTCATTTTTCATAGCTAAAGCAAACACACACCTTTATGAGATGCAAGTTAAAGAGAAGGTGTTAAAGACAGATAAAACCCACATTAAGTGCACATACCCTACATTTTAGTCCAGACCGTAAGCTATTTTAAGAAAAAAAATTATATTAAGATATAAATTAGATAATTAGATCATCTCATTTATAAGAAACAACTCATACCAGAATTTACATTCAAACCATATGGGAAAAGTTTTGAATGTGGGTTTAATCATGTATGACGTTGGAAATAAATCAAAATATTTAAATGAGTGTGCAGTTCAACTCTTTACTTGGAGAGATAGATTATAATACATGCCTATAATAAATGTGTCTTTTGTGTGTTCACACCATAGACTATAAAAAACAAGTTCACATATTTCCAATATCTATGTAATGTTGCCCCAGAAAGTGGAATAGGCTATGTTTTAATTCAAGGAGTAAACAGGGTCTTACCAGAATCTCACGCAAGCTAAAGACAGGCAACAAAAGAAAATGAAAAAGAAAATAAATTTTAAATTGAGTAGAGAAGACTAGGGGCAGCTAAACCTACATGTGGTTAGTTTAAGCCAGATAGAACATAACCGTCAAGAACTTTCTGTCTCTCTAAATAAATTAGACCCATCCATAGAAATTAATTGATATACCTACCCTATAGCTCTGTCGAGCTAATCGTTTATAAATAATAAATGTTGCATCATTGCTAAACAACAAAAACTTTAGCAGATTATTTAACATACAAATGACAGAATCTATATTTTTTTGTCAGATTTTCATTCTAACGATATTAATCTTGATTATACGGTATTATTACTTTGTCTTCTGGGCAAGTTTAATCTTCATAAAGACAGCACCATTCAATGTAATCCTGATTTCAGAATATTCTCCTCTGAAATAAATTCCCTTTTTTCTTCTTTTAAGAAAATGTCAAAACCTTTAAACTCAAAGGTTTCTAAAACAAATAATATCCTTGAGTCTGTTGTAAAGAACCTTTAATTTTTTATATTGACAAAATGTAATATTGTATTGATTTGTTTCTCTTCTCACTGTCAATGTCTTGTATATCAAAATAAATAAATAAATACATTTTAAAAAAAGATTATTTATAGGCCTACTTCAATTCGTGTCGCTGTACAGCCTCCCTACTGGACGCATCAGGAACAACAGGGGCTTAAAACTGTCAGGGGCGTAAAACTGTCAGTTTACTTTAGTGCGTATAAAGACGCACAGTTTTACAATGTTAAGACACCAATTTGAACGTGTTTCTTAACGCGCACATTCTGTACGTATTGAAGTGTAACATTTTAAAAAAGCAGACTTACCTTTAGATCAGAGCCATATAGAGGTTTTTTTCTCTTCTGCTCAAAAAGGCTGCCTTTATTTGACCAAAAACACAGTAAAAATTGTAAAATATTATTACAATTTAAAATAACTTTTTTTACGTGAATATATGTTAAACTGTCATTTATTCCTGTGATCAAATCTGTATTTTCAGCATCATTACTCCAGTCTTCAGTGTCACATGATCCTTCAGAAATCACTCTAATATGATGATTTGATGCTCAAGAAACATTTCTCATTATTATCAATGTTGAAAACAGTCAAATTTCAGTGGAAACTGTGATACATTTTATTTCTCAGGACTGAATAGAAAGTTAAAAAAAAACTGCTTTTATTTTTAAATATGCTGCATTGATGCATGTCTTTAGTATCAATTTTGATTGATTTAATGCATCCTTGCTGAATAAAAGTATTGATTCCTTTAAAAAAGAAAGCTTATATGTTACATCTGCATGTGTGACGCCAGACTCTGGTTCCCTGTGGTGGCGACGGCCCGATTGACTTCATCTGTCTGGTGAAGGGTTGGCTGGGTCGCGTCTGCCAGCTTTTGGGCTCAAAACCGAACCTCATTCGAGAGGGCGAACTTGCGGCCTTCCTTTCTTACGCCATCGCTTATCCTCAAAACTTCCTCACTGTGATCGACAGCTACAGTGTCAGCTGGTGAGACATTCCCCGAGGCACGTGATGATGGTGTATGTTGATGTTTTATCTGGCTGTAGATGACCGTGGGCCTTTCTCAATCGGTGTTCTTGTCTGTAGGCCTACTTGTGTTCTTGTGAAACGTAATCTTTTGTGGCCCAGGTACTGTCGCATTGGACTATAAGTCGCATTTATTTAGAAATGTATTGCACAAAATCCAAGACCAAGAACAGACATTTAATCTGAAAAGTTATTCAACTCCACAATAGCACGCAGAACAACAGGCGGAATAGGTGTCCGGTATGTTAACGTAACACAGTTACGTTATTCACGTAATTCAGCTCCACAAGTTTGCATTTTGGCAAGAACGTTATAAATCCCGGAAGTGTTCTTGACACGCCCATTTTACCGAGGATGCATCGGTTGGTAACTTGGGTGCTTCTCAATATCCCTCCTCGTCTCCTCGATCCTCCGTCCTCCATCCTATGACCCGGAAACCGATCGAGCTCAGCCATCTTGAAGGACATCTCAATTTTCTAATTGCACCGCGAGGAGGCGAGGATGGAGGAGTGAGGAGGCTTCCAGAGGAGCTATGAGCGAGGATACAAAGGCTGCGTTCCAGTCCACTTTTAGACACGCACTTGCGAACTTCCCTAAGCACTTCCCCTCGGGGGAATCCCTGCCGCCATTTTGAAGTGTGTTCCACTTCGCGAAGTGGACGAGGGAAGTTTATATGGACAGACACTCGTTCCCTCGATTTAGACCGAGGGAGCGAGTCTACTTCATATGTACACTTCATGCACCTATATTTCCCACAATGCAGTACGATTGTGACATCACCACAGATCTCGTCTAATCACAACCACAACAAAGAACTCTATGATATATATAACAAAAAAAATATTTAAAACAACCCAAACACACCTATACATTTTGATGCTGCATTAAACAAATTCTTAGAGGGAATACAATTTTAATTAATAAATCAACTCCATAGCTGATTCCAAGTGATCAAGGGCTTAGGACGTTCCAGTTCAGCCCATTGCAGTTTCCGCCAGTAGTGGGCACTCATGCAACGTAAGCAATGACGTACATCCGAGTGAACGAGACGGAGGGAAGTTAGCGAGTGAAGGGCATGTCAATTTTGGACTGGAACGCAGCAACAGGGGTGCTTCTCATTTCTTATTTGTGCATCCTCGTTTCCTTTCCTCGCGTCCTGCAGGGGGTGGAGCTGAGACGCGAGGAAAGGAAACGAGGATGCACAAATAAGAAATGAGAAGCACCCCTGTTGCTGCGTTCCAGTCCAAAATTGACATGCCCTTCACTCGCTAACTGAAGGAACGGAAGGCTGCAAGGAAAGAAAAGGAGGACGGAGGAATCGAAGGAAAGTTTTTTTATACTTTGGAACACTTGATCACTCGAGCGTCACTTCACTGCGTCATCAGCAGCGCTCAAAGTGTCACGGGGGACAAGCGTCTTGGCGGAACCTTTCTTTTTGGGGTTTTGTTCCCCTGGGGGACAATGACGGCCGAACACCATGACGGTTCCGGTTCCCCGTGAGGAGATCATGGCGGCGGGCGAGGCTTGATTAGAAAACTCGCGTCAGGTGGCGGCGCGTGGGATTATGATCCGCGATTGGGACACGTATTAGGAGAGAGTGTTATAAAAGCCATTCTTGATGAGAGAAGAGACGTGGTGGTGGTGGATTCGGAGGGATACAGGCAGTGGGACAGAGATTGTGAAGACTCCTATCAATTCAAGTGGGTGAAGAATTAAGCTATATCGTCTTTGAATGAATAATGAGGATCGTGGGAAACGCGTTGTGAGTTTGGCTGAGCTTCAACTCTTCTTCTGATTGACTTTTGATCATTACTGTGGCAGCCTGGGACAGTTAAGTACCATCTTTGTAATTCTAAAGAGAAGATAAAGATTTACAGTTTCTACTGTGGTGGTTGAGTCGTGTGTCTGGAGGCTGGGAATTAACCAAAACATCTTCTGATTTCTTCGATGCCAGTGAACAACAGTGTTAAACTGACTCGTGTTCAGCCCCTGCTTATTCGATCTATTGGGGAGGAAATGTCAACTGGATGGTGAGAGGAATGCCTTGGGGTGCACCGTGAGTCTGTTCAATTTTGCAGTCAAATTGTGGAAGTGAGCACAAGTGAGTTCCTGAAGTGTTCTGGTGAATTTGTATGAGTGTGGATTTGGGTTTTTTGCTTTCCACTCCAAATCACAGCAGACTTCCTTCCATACCGGGGCCGCTGAGCTATGTTGTTTAAATGATTCCATGTCTATCGAAGAGGTGTTATACAGAGAGGTCTTCCAGTCCCTCCTGTTTTCTGGGGCAAAGTAACGGAGTCGACGGAGAGCTCTGAGGAGGCCGACACCGTCTAGACCACACTGGTGAGATCGACTAATTCGATTGTGTTGTATACTGATAAGTGACTCTGTGTTCCCCATCAAAAGACTAAGAGTGAAGCTCTGCTGTCCGAGCGGCCATCTGCCCAGGGTCCAGTATCCACCAAAGAGGAGTTGTAATACGTTACCACCTATCTGGCCCTTGCTGCTCCACTGTGAAGCTCTGTCGCTTGAGAACCCACCTGGTCCACGCTGTTCCGTTGTGAAGCTTGGTCTGAGTAGCCATCTGCTCAGAGTCTAGTATCTACCGAAGAGGAGTTGTTATACGTGACCCGCCACCTACCTGGCCTTTGCTGCTCCACGGCACTGTGAAGCTCTGTCGCTGGAGAACCCACCTGGTCCACGCTGTTCCGTTGTGAAGCTTGGTCTGAGTAGCCATCTGCCCAGAGTCTAGTATCTACCGAAGAGGAGTTGTTCTACGTGACCCGCCACCTACCTGGCCTTTGCTGCTCCACTGTGAAGCTCTGTCGCTTGAGAATCCACCTGGTCCACGCTGTTCCGTTGTGAAGCTTGGTCTGAGTAGCCATCTGCCCAGAGTCTAGTATCTACCGAAGAGGAGTTGTTATACATTACCCGCCACCTACCTGGCCCTTGCTGCTCCACTGTGAAGCTCTGTCGCTTGAGAACCCACCTGGTCCACGCTGTTCCGTTGGGAAGCTCTGCTGTCTGAGTGGCCATCTGCCCAGAGTCCAATACCCACCGAAGAGGAGTCATTGTACATTACCCGCCACCTACCTGGCCTTTGCTGCTCCACGGCACTGTGAAGCTCTGTCGCCTGAGCACCCACCTGGTCCACGCTGTTCCGTTGTGAAGCTTGGTCTGAGTAGCCATCTGCCCAGAGTCTAGTATCTACCGAAGAGGAGTTGTTATACATTACCCGCCACCTACCTGGCCCTTGCTGCTCCACTGTGAAGCTCTGTCGCTTGAGAACCCACCTGGTCCACGCTGTTCCGTTGGGAAGCTCTGCTGTCTGAGTGGCCATCTGCCCAGAGTCCAATACCCACCGAAGAGGAGTCATTGTACATTACCCGCCACCTACCTGGCCTTTGCTGCTCCACGGCACTGTGAAGCTCTGTCGCCTGAGCACCCACCTGGTCCACGCTGTTCCGTTGTGAAGCTTGGTCTGAGTAGCTATCTGCCCAGAGTCTAGTATCTACCGAAGAGGAGTTGTTATACATTACCCGCCACCTACCTGGCCCTTGCTGCTCCACTGCACTGTGAAGTTCCGTCGCTCGAGACCCCACCTGGTCCACGCTGTTCCGTTGTGTAGTTCTGTCCGAGTGGCCATCTGCCCAGAGTCCAGTATCCACCGAAGAGGAGTTGGAATACGTTACCACCTACCTGGCCCTTGCTGCTCCACTGTGAAGCTCTGTCGCTTGAGAACCCACCTGGTCCACGCTGTTCCGTTGGGAAGCTCTGCTGTCTGAGTGGCCATCTGCCCAGAGTCCAATACCCACCGAAGAGGAGTCATTGTACATTACCCGCCACCTACCTGGCCCTTGCTGCTCCACGGTGAAGCTCCGCTGTTCGAGTGGCCATCTGCCCAGAGTCCAATACCCACCGAAGAGGAGTTGTCGTACGTTATCCGCCACCTACCTGGCCCTCGTTGCTCCACTGTGAAGCTCCGCTGTCTGAGTGGCCATTTGCCCCGAGCCCAGTATCCACCGAAGAGGAGTTGTTATTACCCGCCACCTACCTGGCCCTTGTTGTTCCACTGTGAAGCTTTGCTGTCTGAGCAGCCATCTGCCCAGAGTCCAGTAACCATTGAAGAGGAACTACTACCCGTTATTCGAAGCCTAGAGAAGATACGCGGATTGACTTTTAATATTCTTGTTCTTAACTTAATAAAGCAAATATTTTTATTCCTTTACCCTTGTTGTCCCGCCTTTTCACTGGTTTGCTCCTCGAGGTGACACACCTATTAGAGGTGGTGGTGGGTCGGCCACTCCGGCCTGTGACAAAAGTGGCGTAGTCGGCAGGATTAGTCCCTCGAGTTTGAGCAACCAGAGGTTTCCTAATGGCGGACGAAGGCCCAGATCGAGTATCTGGCGGAATTACAGGGCCTGAGCGAATCGCAGAAATTGCAGTTTATCTTGCGCTCACTCGAGGGCGAGGCCAAGAGGGAGGTCCAAGCCGCATCTGAAGACACACGGACTACTGCAAGGGCTGTCTTCGATTTCTTGGCTGCCCAGTATGGAGATGATACGCCCGTAGCTACCCTTCGAGCTCAGTTCTTCAATTGTAGACAGGGGCCCAGGCAGACCCTGCGGGCCTTTTCCTTGCAACTACGAGAGCAGTTTACTCGATTGAAGGGGAGACAGGGCCACGGTCTGGGAATGGAGGAGACTTTGATAAGAGACCAATTACTTATGGGCCTCCGAGAAGGGCCCGTTCGCCAGAGTCTACGTTCGCAGCTTCGCCGAGATCCCACCTTGTCATTTGAGGATTTGCGTAGAGAGGCTTTGGCTCTGGAAATAGATCATGCTGAGACAGCCGATTCCTCGGTTTGTATGGCCGCCAGTGGGACTGGTCCCCTCATTCCGCCTGAAGCGACCGAGTGGAGGCAGGCACTACGCGCCGAGTTGATGAGAGACGTCCGGGAA